TATCGCATCCCACGTTACACATTGACGGAACTGAGAGAATTATGTGCGTAACGAGGAGGCTGCTCGCTCGTCGGTAAAAAGCAGGAATATATTACTGGACAGGATCCAACGACGACGTTCCTTGGATTTCTTAAAATCATCGATTTGTGCCATGAAACGTCGTTCCTCGACCCCGAAGAAGGAGAACAGCGTTCATTTCGTAGTTCCGTGTTGACAAATTTCTCTTCGAACAAGATAACCTCGCAAAGGACGGATTTTGCCGCAACTTTCTATCCCGTGTACGCTACACTCACTTCATTTCTACCTCTCTGATCGTTAATTGCTTCTGCTAATTAACGATTGTCGCGAAACGTCATCATGAGATATGTAAAGATTTATTGCTTCGTTGCATCAGCATTTAGTTTTGGTACTGTCATAGTGTAGTCTCAGAAAATTGATTACAAGGTTGCAAGGGAAACAGACAATTTTATAAATAATATTGTAATCTTTTATATAAATATCTTACATAAATAATATATGGATAAATATATCAATTAAATCAATAAAATCTATTTAAATCAATAAATTTATTCACAGTTTTTCAGTACATTAACATCTTTCTAGGATGCCAGATTGAGCATCAAATTGCTTATCAATTTAATTTGTGATATTACTATAGTAGTTTGCATTTATAAGATTGAAAAATCATTTCAGCGCATATTAAATAATTACATATTTAGCATATAAATTCACATAAAAATTATTTAAAAGTATCTAAAATCCAGCTTCGACTGTAATAGGCATTAAATTTATTTAATCAGTCTTAATAAATAGTAATTTATTGTTGTATTATCTATTTAATCTTTTGACATCTCTTATAGATCATACTGTAAAAAACGATTTTTTCACATATACTGATAAATGAATTCATAATATTTCTTTAGGAAAAAATTATTTGTATTAAGCAAGTTAAATGTATAGCATTTTTACAAAAGATTTGTTAAAGACAATTGCTTTATAAACAGCTTTATACAGTTGATATCGTATTAGTTCAATGTTTAAAAAAATCAAATTTTAAGTATAATATTGACTAGCAATAATATAATATGATTTTATAAATATTTTCATTTTAATAGATCCTCAAGTAAGATGTCATTGATCGAAGGAGTGGGCGATGAAGTCACGGATTTCTTTATCGTCATGACCATACTATTGGTAGGATGGCTTGCTTGGTGCTCGACAAGTATAGCGGATCAGCCACTGATACGTACAGTACTTATCCTGCGGGACCGAGCGCCTACACGTATCACTTCAATAAGAGCTAATCATCAGAACACAAGTAATCTTAGTGTCCAAGATGTTAATCGGCCTCACAGGTCAGAAACAGCAGAAGAAGAAACATTAGAAACGACATCAAATAATAGCGATAGTATACAAGAAAATTGTCCAAGTGCAGCTGTAGTAGGTAAATATTTCTTTTTCTCTTTTTTGCGTAAGATATTACTTAAACTTTTAAGTATTATTCAAATCTTTTTTTTGTATCATTAGATACGAGCGAATTATCTCAAGATGTCTCGAGACCAACAGAATCTACAATGGCAGAAGAAGTACTTATTGAAGCCATGGATTCGTTCAGCAATGCTGATCGATCACTGTTACAAAGAACAGTCAAGGCAGATAATGCTGACTCGGCATTGGACCAAACTACTAGTAGTTCATCAGAATGTATGTCAGAGGGGTCAACCTTAAGTGATAGCAGCAATGATATCACTATAAAACTCAAGTTTATAAATGACGATCAAAAAATAGTTACGGGCAGTCTTAAAGAAATGCTGGGTGATTTTAAAAGGTATTTCTAGTTTACATACATTTCTATTGTGTCAGCAAAGTTATAACAGTTTTTATTCTCACAAAAGATAATCCAAGTATTTAATAACATTGTTTCTTATTTCATGTTTATTATTTACTTGTCTTTAGGTCTATTTTTTTAATAGTTGAACTAGTATACATATTTAAAGTGAAATAGATAAATTTTTAACATGTGATAAAAGCGAAAAGGAAAGTTTTAGTGTAGTTCAATGCAGCAAAATAAAATAAATATTTTTCACTTCGCAGGAGGCACTTTCAAATAGAATTGGAAGCACGTAAAGCGATACGATTAGTATTCAACGGCCGCGTATTACAACCTGACACTCAGACTCTCGAACAGTGCGGCTTGTTTAACGATTGCGTGGTTCACTGTTGGGTGCATCAACCGCGACCAGCTACCGTACCATCGTCTACGTTAGATAATTCATCGTCCATTTATTTCAATTCCCAGCCGTTCTCAGATCTGCCCACCGATGCAGGGATAAGTTCGGTACACAACGACTGGGACTTGAGCCGACTCCTTGTAAGCCTTCTGACGATCATCTTAGGTCTCGCGTGGTATTCGCGGTATCATTACGCTCAACTTTTCACCGCGACAACCACGCTCGCGCTCTACGCGCTTACAGCAATCTTCACGGTATCTCTGTTTAGTAATTTCTTTTCTGATCAAGATAACATTCGGAACGTGGAATGATATGATGACGATGATGACGACGATTACTACGATCCCTTCTAATACGATTATTTCTAAGTTCTAATTTTAATAAAAAAAAGCACCTTAAATACAAATCGATATAATATACATTGTAACACGTACCACGTATACTATGGATTTAACGGAATCAATCAATCGGTAATCTTCGTCGTCGAGTATTTGCTTTTAACGTAATTTAACGTTAATTAACATTCTCGAGATCAGATTTATCGTTGATAATAACGAGCTCATTATAGTTTTGTGATTTTCATCTTGGTGTTACTCTCGAAGATGTAAAACACCGATTGCGATATTTCTATTGATATACGTTTCTCTAAACTATAATTCAATTCGTTACATACAAGAGGTGCGTTAAGTTATCGCTTAAATTCTAGTGTAGCATTTCTTACAGATTTCAAAAGAAATTTTTTTTATGGTACATGATAGTAGATGACCTATCTATCACTTCATAATATATTTAAAATATATATACGTTATAGATTATATGTCTATATAAAGTATATAATAAGTTGTTCTCCGTTAAATTTAAAATAATTAAATGAAATAATAAGAGTCCAAAATAATCACGCTCGAATGTTATGTTGCAATAATACATAATTCTGAAATAATAAAGTTACTATTTTTTCTCTTTCATGAACTTTCGTTTTGTTTTGAAGAATGTGACATGATGACATTGCTACGTTTCTCAGAAAAAATAATCTCGTGACTTTTAAAATTGACTTCAACGTTTAAAAATTATTACTCTTCGACAGTCATTCAAGCGTAATTATTATTATCTTTATTTGTTTTACTTCTCGTTTTTTTTAAATTTCACGTGAAAGATCATATATAAATATTTTTCGTAAGAAATATCGCTTTATGGTGTTTACGTTATAAAGTAATTAGGAAATACTCTGTACGATAAATAAGTTTCTGTGAAACACACTTTTCTTCGCAATATATATATAATTCTGAAAGGATATCACTTTCTATTCAGTAAAGAAATAAAATTAATTAATGGTTTATTTCTCTAATTTTTATTATAACTAACTTTAAATTATAAAATGAGAGAATTATATAGAAATATATTTTCTACAGGTAATTACTTAGTAATTATTACTTTCTTCGATTTTTTAGTACTATTGTATTGTTGATGCTGTGTGATTTGTGAACGTTTTGATCCGCCGAATTTAATATAGAATTATTTCACGTATTTTTAACGCGTTGATTGTCACGTCATTCAGAATTACATGAAATTAATCAATTTCATAAAAAATTCCCAAGAAGCCAAACATGTTTTCTTTTTGTAATTTATTTTTTATTATTAACATCATTCGACGAGGCTTCTTTATTATTTATATTTGAATGTTTGACGCTTTGAAAAAAATGGGGAACGCTAATCATGTATTAATAAATTCATACCTCATGATGATCAACATGTTAAGTATTACGGAAATATGCTAATAATGTGTGAATTTCAGTTACCATTAGCATAAACAGAGAATTAATTTGAATGAATTTTGTACTAATAAAGGAGAAAGAAAAATTACCCGTCATATCTCTAAGCATAGAGCAATCTGGAAGTCGTCTATTTATATTATACTTATTTGTACATGAGGCATAATGCATAGAATATCAATAAAATCAATCTTTTCTAAAAAAAAAAAGCAAAATCACTAGACATTCACGTCGGATAAATTCTAGGATGTGCATAAAAATATAAGTTTTATCGAAAATGCTTATGGCATAACAAAAGAATGAGCGTGATAGAGATATATATTATGGTCTCTAACTAGCGTACTATAATTTGTTAAAATTAAATTAATAATTATATTTACACATATATGTATATATATATACACAATTGTTTTAAATAATGCCAATAAATGTTTATTTATTTGATACTTATTTATCATACAATATAATTGTCCTTGTTTCTTAGTGATAAATATATGTATAAAATTTTGCATATTCTCTGTCAAGATAAATCTATATTGATTATCAAATTACCTATTATTTCTTTTTATACAATAATCGTAAATCATTTTTTATATTGTTCAACAATACATAAAATATAAATACGATAAAAAATGTGGAAAAAAACTCGAGATTAAAAATACAATTAATTCTTTTTATTCTTTAATGTACAAAATAGCAGAAACTTTCGTGAAAAATATTATATTTATTTAAAATCACGTAATAAGACACCCTGGCGTATTAATAGTTTATGCATTAAATAAATATACTATTAAATTATTCCTAATATGTCTCATAGTAAATATTTTCATTGACAAAAAAAAAGAATTAATTAATAATTAACTACATCTTTCATTTGATCTCAACAAACACGATGTCATCTTTTCAGAAAATTATAAATAACAAAATTACAAGATATAACAATGCTATTTATTAGTTCTTTCAATCTTATATTGAAAAAATCGCAAGTCCAAATCGCTTTTCATACAATTGAAAAAATATATTTAAAATTTCTATCATTTGTTTGTTGATCTCACTACTTCTAACCATTGTTTATTGAACATGTTTTTCTCCACTGGCGTATCATCCAGTGTTCTGGTAATTTTCTCGGCATGAAGATACATATCATACGAACAGTTATATATACCAAATACCAAATCAATTTCCTGTTTCAAACGTTTGTATGTGAGAGGTCCAAGTTGCGAATTATACAAGTAAATCTTATCCTTCGAGGACGCGCCGTATCGTGGTTGCATATTCGAAAGTATTACGTTGACGTAACTCGCAGAAGGTTGCGATTTCGATGATGTCGTGCTGCCTTCCTGTGTTGACGTATGATTGGCCGATGTTCTGACCAACACGAGCCTCATATCCATGTCTTTGATCTTTTGCATCTCCTCAATAATGACATCGCTATTGCATGGCAACTCGATCATGTCTCTCTGCGGAGTCTTGGTCACGTTCTCGATAAATTCCTTATGACTGATGATGATCTTCGCCAAGTTGCTGTTCGCGTCTTTGATTTCATAATATGCGATGGCTTCGTCGGAGGGCACGAGTCGTGCTTTCTTCCGTAACTTCTGCACTCGATTGATCACCTCACGTGCTATTCCCTCGTTGTGCATCGCCTCGTCAGCAGTAATGTCCACAAGGATCAGTATGCTTCCCTCGCTGTGAGTCTCGTATTGCTTCGACAGTTGCTCGGCGGCCGGACCGGTGAAGCTGAACATCAGACGCAGGTCTTGCTCCTCGAGCTTGTGGCCCTGCACGATAATTTCCTTCGTGGAAACAAACTTCTGCAGCTGTTCGTCGGACAGCTCTTTAATGGCTTGAATTATCTGTTTGAATTCGCCCTTCAAACGAGCACCAAGTGTCTTATGATCTGGTTCTGCTCTCAAGGTCACACCATATTTCTCCTTGTCAGTAGTAACAATTAATTTCTTGATGTTGAGTTCTTCGAGTATGTATGACTTTAATGAGACAATGTCTCTTAGTACTTTGTCATCTCGATGGATCACCACGATTTCCGGCAAGGGATATTTTGTGGGAATGACCTTTCTATCGCGTACAATACGACCCAGTTGAATGACTGACTGCATGTGCGATATAGCTTTCTCAATGTCTTTGTTAATCACATGATGTTGCGGATGTGGTATCAATTTCCAATGCACACTTTTGTCAAAATTTTCAAAATATTCTCTAAGTTCTTTAACGTTCTTTACGTTCCACTCATTTATCTTCTTCATGTATTCTTTACGCTTCAACTTGAAAGTCTTCTCTTCATCCATAGGCTCAGGATGAGACTCACAATCAGACTGATTACTCGGTTGATACTTGAATGTCTTTGTAAAATTCTCAATATACGTGCGACAATTCTCAAAATTCTTAGGCAAATCATTCGACGTTACGACAACCCATTGGTCTAATCGCATAAACATGAATTCCGTCAAGAATGGCGTGAATGGCGCATAGTTCTGCACCATCGTGTGAATTGCTAGAAATAGAGTCGTCAATGCATTATCGCAATCCTCCAGACCATCTTCACCTTTGATACGTTTTCTATTCATTCTCACATACCAGTTTGTGAGATTGTCAATGTACTTTATTAAATAGGGCACCACAGTGTACAGTCTATACTCTTCCATCTCTTTCTTCACAAAGATCAACAGCGATTGAGTGATCGACATAATCCATCTATCCATTATATTGTTGGAATAGGATTCTTGACCTTCAGTGATTACAAACCTGATCCCAGACTCCTGGTACTGGTCAATGTTCTGCATTAAGAAACGGAACGCGTTATACCATGGCAAGAAGACATCCTTGATGATGTCCCGAACACCCTCTTCCTTAAATTTAAGGTTCTCGGCTCTCACGACTGGCGAATTGATCAAATAAAGACGCAGAGCGTCCGCCCCGTATTTGTTGATCACTTCCATAGGGTCGGGATAATTTTTCTTACGCTTCGACATCTTTTGGCCGTCGGACGCGAGTACTAGACCATTGGCCACGAGGTTTTTATACGGCGCTTTGCCAAACAGTGCGGTGGATATCACCAGAAGCGTGTAAAACCAGCCACGCGTCTGATCGATACCCTCAGCGACGAAATCTGCTGGGAAGATCTCATCGAATTCCTTGCGATCTTGATTGAATGGAAAATGGACCTGCGCGTATGGCATGGAACCGGACTCGAACCAGCAGTCGAAGACTTCAGATATACGACGCAACGGCGGCTGTCCCGCACGTTTCGACGGTATTGTCAGATGATCAATGTTCTCGCGATGGATGTCCTCCACTTTTGCGCCTGTCAATCTTTCTAGTTCCTCCATGCTGCCCACGCACACGATCTCCTCCCTGTCTTCAGAGATCCAAAGCGGTATTGGATTGCCCCAGTAACGATTCCTGCTGATGGCCCAGTCGCGCGCATCACGCAGCCAGTTGCCGAATCGTTTCTCCTTCACGAAATCCGGCACCCAGTAGGTCTTACTATTTGCCACCAGCAATTTGTCCTTGATTGCTTCCACCTTGAGGAACCAAGAGGGCACAGCTTTGTAAATAAGCGGCGTGTCCGTTCTCCAGCAAAACGGATAGCTATGCTTTATCGTGCTATTGACAATCAGCTTCTTCTTAAGCTGCAAATACTTTATTATTTCTTTGTCCGCGTCTTTGACATACTTGCCGAGAAAGTCGTGAACCGGCTCTGTGAAACAACCGCAACTATCCACGGGGCATATAATCTCTTGATCCTTGCATATGACGCCAGCCTCTAGGCAACATCGGAAATCATCCTCTCCGAAATATGGGGCTTGATGGACGATGCCAGTTCCGGTTTCTGCTGTGACGTAAGTGTCATTCAGGACTCTGAAAGCACCTTTCTCTTTATGATGCAAAAAATATGGAAACAATGGTTCATATGCCTTTCCTTTCAGGTCTGTGCCCTTTATCCTGTCTATTATGGTATAAGAACCCTTAAGGATTTGCAATTGAGCCTCCAATATGATATAAATGTCACTAGTCTTCTCATTTTTTACCTTCACATATTCAAAAGTAGGATTGACACATAATGCCAAATTACTAGGTAGTGTCCAAGGAGTGGTGGTCCAGGCCAATAGAGACACCCCTGGCTCATCCAGTAGAGGAAAGACTACGACGACCGATGGATCCATTATATCCTTGTAATTCTGACCTGCCTCAAAGTTGGACAGTGGCGTGTTACAGGCAGTAGAATAAGGCATTACTTTAATACCTTCATATATAAGGCCTTTGTGATATAGCTGCTTGAACACCCACCAGATGGACTCCATATACCATGGATACATGGTTTTGTAGTCATTTTCAAAGTCAATCCACCGTCCCATCCGGCCAACAATGTCCTGCCATTCCTTGGAATATTTCATCACGATTTTACGACACTCTTCGTTGTACGCTTTGATACCTATCTTGGCGACATCATCAGGTCCTTTGATACCCAGTTTCTTGTCAATCTCATTCTCCACAGGAAGACCGTGGCAGTCCCAGCCAAATCGACGCTCCACATGATAGCCGCTTTGATATGCGTACCTCGTCACAATGTCCTTTATAGTACCAGCGAGGATATGACCATAATGTGGAAGGCCGGTAGCGAAAGGTGGCCCGTCATAGAACGAATACTTTGGCCATTCTTCCCTAGTAGATATATCCATGCATTCATGATATACATAGTGAGCCGTCCATAGTTTTAACATGTTCTCTTCCTGCTCGGCGAAATTGATGGTCTCCGGAATACTCAACTTTGTGGAACATAGCAACCCTTCCCTATTCATAAAAGAATAATTTCTGACGACACGAGTCATCTTTGACACAACGTTCCGTACCGGCTGAAGGAATCGTGGCTCATACGAGGTGCTGACGCAACTCGACACAATCTTGTCGCTAACCTAACAATTATTATTATTATTATTATTTATTGGCCTGCCTCCACAAGAGATAAGGAGGCAATATGGTCAAATTATGTTACAAAAGTTTGTCAAATAATTTTTTAAATATACTTAATTAAACCTTGTCTTTAAACAGGGGAATCAAGCTAATGATTACGTTCAGCACAGTTTCAGTTCAGCGGACTCGACATCGAGCGAGTGCTCGCTGCTATTGATATATTCTTCTAGATCTAAAATTCTGATTGGATGATCTAAAAGAATATACTAATAACAGTGAACTCTCACTTCCTGTTGAGTCCATTGAATACGTCCTGATGTAGGCACCAACTTCCTAGGAATTTATGTGCGCACGCGTAAACGTGTGATTGGAGATTCCGTATACACTAGGTCCGTATACACTGTTCGCATTGCATGAAATCCCCAAATATTTTTGCACTTAAAATGAGATAAATATATATTTGGCTTTGAAAAGAGAGAAAGCGAAAATGCGATTTTAAAAAGTGCGAGCAACGTGAACAGACCTACGAATTAGCTATCAGAAAGAAAAATCTTCGGACAATGGAAAGTCTCTATCCAGAGACCAATCAGCACACTTGAAATACTTGTCTACTTAGTATACTTTAATAAATTGAGAACATGTGCCAAAATTAATCTCAAGAACATATGCTCATATTCGTAATCAGGCTTTATATTTAAGGCTTCCTTAAATTTATCTTCAGATAAATACTTCAGATACTCTACGAATTATTTCATTGGCTGCTGGGTATCTAAAGATAAATTTAAGGAAGCCTTAAGTACAAGGTCTGACTATGAATATGGACAATAATCTTGCGTCTGGGAAAGATGCAAAAACATAATGATAAAGATATTAATATGAGTTTTACTTTAATTTACATAATTATTAGAAAACCTGTGTATTTCAAAGAATGCATTTCCAAAAATCCATACAAGATAGTAGGAAAATTATGATGGGAATTTGATGGGAAATTATGATGGGAATTGAAGGGGAAAAATAATTTTTCCCCTTTAGACATTTTTTTCAGTATTCTAAATATTAGAATTATTTTTTTTTAATGTTATTGTATTAACATGATTTATAGTTTTCATATATACTTACAATTAAACATAAAATATAAAAATAATCATACAATATTTGGAATTATAAAGCAATCTTTTCACTCTTGATCTTCACTGATTTAAATACTGAATAGAATAGAATTTATTACACTTCAGTGTATTTACAGCCAAGAAGGAGCTGATTTAAATACTGTAATATATTAATGTAACATGGCAGTCGTATTCTAATAATTAAGTAACAAATGCCAATCTTAGAGAAAGATAAGTAATACTTTAAAAAGAGCGAGAGATTTATACCCATTTCAACCAATGCAAATTAATTTTAATCTTAGTTCAACTCTTAGTTTCACTCTTCATTTTTTTCTAATTCTTAAAACTAGAAAAAAATGAAGAATAAGTTGAATCAAGATTAAAGTTAATCTACTTTGGTGGAATAAATGGTTGATATACGTAGTATCAAAAAATGATAGTAGTAAAAAATTTTATATATCTAATTCTTAAATACGAACTATTAATTTCTTTGGACTATAGGAATGTTTCGCTCATTCGTTCAACTATAAAATTCGTTCAAAATCTTACAGAAATTATGTGAAAACTACATATGCATATGTATAACATAGAAAATAAAGATATTTACAATATTTTATCATTTTAAACAGATATATATCATAAATATATATCATCTGATATAGTTTGACTAGATATCGAAATATGTAATGCAAATTCACGATTGATGCATGACATGCTGTACCCTTTGTTGACGCTGACCGCCAACATATATCACTTGTCTCGGTTCGTCCGGATGAATGAGCTCGTCCGTGTGTTTCCACTGCCATTTTTTTTCGCTCTCTTTCACGCGTCTATGATCGATATAACTGATGACGCAACTCGCCGGTATCCATATAACGGCAGTGATGATTATCACAGCACCCACTATATTATCTTTCAGAAAGCGCATAACTTTGTTGATGTTTATATCCTCAATGATGTCCCAGAATCGCTCCACTACGTCTTGAATTGTTTTCTCACAAACACCCTAAAAAGATATATGTTTATAATATATTAGACAACAGAAATTACTTTTATCAAATTAATTACTATGATATATCTTACCTTGTTGCAAAAACCTTGAATGCACGGTGTCCCATCGGGTAAAATGTCTTGCTGGTCTATTGGGAAGCATGTCTCGTTCAAATTCATTCTACAGCATCTCTTACACGCATCAGCAACTATTAATAATTATATAATAGTTTATATAATAATTATATCTTTCAGTACAAAATTAATTGTATAATGTAAGATTTCAATTCTAAAAACATTTATACTCGTATTCATAGACAGGCTTTATATTTAAGGCTTCCTTAAATTTAATAAAATCTTTAGATACTCTACGAATTATTTCATTGGCTGCTGAGCATCTAAAGATAAATTTAAAAAAGCCTTAAGTACAAGGTCTGTGAATACGGGCATTAGTCTTTTGACTTTTTCTCAGTAATCATAAAAATATTTTTATAGAATAATAATATACAATTAATTTTGAAAACCAGAATAAAGTACAATACAAGATTAAAAATTTTAAAAATAGCAATTGGTTTTTCATTAATTGCACAATTAATAAGCATTTTCGCAAATCAACAGCAAAATTGTAGAAATGAGTTATAAAAGAATTGCTTCTCTTTCTGATATGAAAAAATGATAAATTAACATAATGAAATATTTCTACTTATATTTGTACGTTCAGTATTTAAAATAAAATACGTACTAGTGTCGCACATGCAGCTTTGTAAATTTTGAGTTTCGCAGTATGGTACGCATTTGCCTAGACGACATTGACCACGTTCGAGACAATCAGTGCCGTCTTTCATGGGTGGAGATCTCGGGCATTCGCTAGACGCACCAGTGCAGCGCGATTCCTGTTCACAAGTAGCATATTGCGCATCGCGGCATTTTACGCCCGCAGGCATATACGCGCAACCCTGACAGCAAGGAGAATTTTTGTCACTGTTGGAAGAAATAAAACGAGTGCCATTAAATAATGTTGAATATATAACCTAAGGATTTTTGTAAAAAGTGAAAGAAAAAATAGATACGTAAAAAATAGATATGATTCTAGATGGCTTACCTGCAAACTGCTCCTTGATTACTACGAAGTTTACAGTTTTTGTCGCAACATGAGTCATTGTCTTCTGTTCCCAAGAGACCTGCGTCGCATTCCTCGTCGCCCTCGACTCTCAAATTACCGCAGAATGATTCTTCCGGCTCTGAGAAACAGCGTCCAGATTTAGCTTGCAAGACCTTTCTGATGGATCGCAAGCTACATGGAGAAAATCTCTAGGAAAAAAAACGTAAATCTATAAAAAAAAGAGCAAAAAATAAATTCAAATATAAACACATAGTAAGATAAAATATTGATTCCTTATTTAAAAAATAATTAAAATAATGATTCATGATAGAAATTACAATACGAATCAAGCATATACTCCACCTTGTTATTTACATCATAGCCACTAACACTGTAAGTGTACATTAAGTAAGATCCACCTTGACTTGCACTTGGACTGCATTCCTATACACAATAATATCATTAAAACTAATTCTAGCTTTGAGAATTATGAAAAAAGAAAAGTTTGTGAAATAAAGATATTGATATAAAAACACATTTTAAAAAACTTAATATATATATATATCAGATTTTGTGTTTTTAACAAAAATTTCCTTTGCGATTCATGATTTTTTTTTTCTTTACTGTTTGAAATCTTAGGTTTATTATATGAATTATTTAATAATTTCATCTCTCAAATATCAGAAATAACTTGCAATATATAGATATTTGAACTATATAACTTACTGAGATATCTGGATCATGTTCGGAACCCCAGTTATGACCGAATTCATGTGCTGTAACCAAATCGGCTTCTCTTGTAATCACTCTCTGTCCATAATGATTTCTGCTGGAGCTCAGTCCCGAATTCAGATATAATGTATATCCGTTTTTGAAATATTCTATAGAATATCAATTTTTTATTCAATTATGAGATCCAATATCATATAAACATCACTACATATTTTATATTTTATATAATGTTAGAGTGACGTAACACAAAGAATACAAAATGTTTTTAATGTACCTGGTGTGCAGATACCGCCCACCGAATTTCTACGAGGAGACCCTACATAGGCTAATCCGAGGATACCACCTTCGAATTTGAGATCAGTAAACAAGTGAGCCAAGCAGAAATCTTTATGGCTATATTCTCGACTGAACACCTGTATTAATACAATAATATCATGAGAAATGACAATTAATTTCAATGTTGTTAAATGAACAATGTTAATTACAACAATGTTATAATTAAATTATATTAAAAAATTGATTGATAATTAAAGCAATTAATTTAAAAAATACTATTTCTTCAAGCTACATGTAATAACCTCGAGCAATGTACGAACGTCCCATTTCTCGCGAACCATATTGTAATGTGTTTCACCACCTCTCACTCGTGTCGGCTCACTGTGAACGACGATCTTTTTAATAACAAAACCCATTCCTTTGAAACCATCTTCCTCTTGATGCTCTTGCCATAAAGTGTCATTGTAAATCTTATGTACTCTATCAATCAAACTTATCTGTGGAATAAGTTAATAATGATTATAAATAAATAGATTATAATTGCATACCGTTACGCTTACCAGATAATTAATTGTAGTTTTTGTACTGCTGGCACCCATTTCTTGGTAAAACCGATAATCGGCGACTAGTAGCAATGGGCATCTTGTTTTTGTCGGTGTATATTCGTAAGTCTCTGTTTGCCTTTTTACTCTGTTACTGATATTATCGGTTTCTGTATCATCCTCCTCAGAATTGTCATTTAAAGTATAATCTGTGATTAAAAATAATATCACAATGTTGGGAATAATAGAAAGGGCAAAATATGTTATTTTAAAATTGTATATTATCTATTTATAAATATCTATTTATAAATATCTATTTATAAATAGAGTCATACTTATAAAAATTGTATATTATCTCATTTATAAATAGAGTCATACTTATATCTTCTTTAACGTAACCGCAGGTCTTTGGAGTTCCATGTGTATGACCTTCTCCATCTTGATAATGCTCCCAACTGAGTTTGACATCGGAAGATTTATAAATAATCATCGTTTGATTATCTAAATGAGAAAGATGCCTCCAGGATGGCTAAACATAAATTCACTTCTTGATTATAGATAACAAATAATCTGTTCAGATAATCAAGTGATAAGAATATGATAGTAAATTATGTAATTCAAAAATTATGTAATTTATAATTATCTAGTAAAATGCAATTGTCTCAAACATTTTAAAATTAATTTTTTAAGCTTTAATTAATTCGTTCCTTCTCATTGTTTACTCGGATAATTTGCAATCATATCATAAACTTTTAGCTATTATTTGGCTTGGCAGGTATACTCACTTCAATATGAAAGGTTTCATCCAAGATTGTTATACTACCTGTCATGATACCATCATCAATATGCATCTGAGCATGAGACTCAATTTCTCCAAACACTCGGCCATGATAAAAATTATCATGATCTACGAAATAATACTATGAAATATGCTTATTTGTTGCTTTACTAAATTATATCATACCTAAATGTATAGTTTTCTCCTTTCCATCAGCATTGACCTCATATGCCTTGAAGTTGGAATGTATAACTTCTCTTCTAGGTGTTAAAATTAATCGAAAATGGCTGTAGTTGAAAGAGATTAAAAGAACGTCAATAAAATGAAGAGAATATCTCTTATAATATATAATAATATATAATATATTAAATAATTAAATATCTTACCGCCCATGTGAATAAAATTCTAATTCACTTATTTTGTTATATGGATGATAACTATGGTGAATACCTCGTTTTAAAATTCTATGTTGAAAGTGAGTACTATGAATTGTTTCATAATATTTCAAGCTTCTGTGAAGTCCACCTATTAATAATGTTTTAATAATATTAGATAAAAGAACAACTGATATAATTACACAAATCGATTTGGAATAATAACAAAGCCAATTTTCTCAATAAAGTCACAATTTCGTAAAATTATTTTAGTAAGATATTAAAACAGATTATTTTTTAATCATAAATAAGTAAACATTAAATATCTTATCAAGATTAATTTAAAAAATTTGTTAAATTTTTTAATATAATTACAGAAGAAAATAAGATTTTGAAGAAAAACTAAAGTATTTAGTTCTGCCTATTTAAACTGAAAGTATCCTTTTCAATGGAGATAGAAAAGATATTTCGATGCATATAGATTTTTTCCTCAATTTTAAATGAGGGATTTCAATTTTTTCGTGTTGATCGCAAATCAACTTGTGGGGTGCTAGTTTAAAAAATGACAATATAATTGGGATAAGTTTAACTTACAAATACTTTGAAGAGTAAGAAAAGCGCAGTAGATAAATAAAACGTTTCGTTTTTCCATTGTCAGTGGAAGGAATTAACAATGGAATGTAAATAGAAAAGCACAATTTTCCCTTGTTTTTTTTTCAATGTTTACAATCTTATTAACAATAATCCACGACGTCGTGTCACAATTTTGTGAGCACTTTGGACACAATTTACAATTTATGGCATAATAACGTGGATGAGAAGCGCAAAATTGTATTATGACAAATCATCAAAGTATCGTTTCTTTATTTATATTTGTCATGATGACAACGGATGACAATCAACACGGAACATAGGTTATGTTCTGACAGTCATAACTCCGATTTTCCACCATGACTCCGATCTTCGATAGAAAGTCGAGTGAGAGAACAAAACGATCCTCATTCGAGTTTTTCGATTTCCAAAACCACCGTTGAAATACTTAAGTTCTTAAATTTGAATAATTGAGTAAGAAATTAATAATATAATATTAATTTTATGATTTATTAGTTTTATAGACATGCATATACGTATAAAACTCAATAATATTCGATTTTTATTTAAAAGTGTGATTTTAATAATATTGTCCGAGTTTGAGTATCAATTAATATTTAAATAATACACATTATTAAATTCATGATTTTTATTATATAAATGCTTTATAAATAAATATGTAAATAAATAAGTAAATATGTTTATAAATAAGTATACTTATAATGTATAATATATATTATATATTGCTGCAAAATTATAATTTTTTTTCTACAGTTATCATTTCTATTGATAATCAAACTCGGACATTAAAATCGCAGCTTTCAATAAAAATCGAGTTATTGAGTTATTTTAAATATATATACATATCTACGAAACATCAGGATACTAATAAATCATAAAAAAATTAATATTATATTATTAGTTTCTTATTCTTAATTATTTAAATTTTTACAACCACACGGACTTTTATTTTAAATTTTTCATGAAAAAAAGCTAGGATGACCGATCTCAGGTTTATCATTGTCACGACTGTCCATACAAAAGTTTAGCGCGAAAATCGAAACGCATGCGCAAACAATGCACTGCGCAGCTCAGCTCGGCGCAACCGTTGATGCAAAAGTTTTATCAGAAATGATCAGAAATAGAGATATTCGTGCGTTGCATCACATTACATTCAATTTTCTTGGCTGTTTCCCGCGCATTTGTTGACGCATCCTGGACGTAAACTTATGTAAAAAATACTGATTTCGAATATTTTTGAAAAATATTAGTGCACATCATTCGCACGCCGAAAATTGTATTGTTATCAGTAACCGAAAATCTTCGATGTGCTCAGTAAAATTGCTTTGCCGAATTCACCGGTTTATTTAGGTTAGTTGTACGAAAAATACTTTTTCTAATTTCTTCTTAAACATTTATGCGACTAACTGTCACAACAAATTCGGTCATTTACAATAAGTATTTATATTAAAAACGAAGTTTACTTTAAGATCCGCTATACATGAAATTAGCAAAGATATATATAAAAGCATATTAATGTTTTAAACAATTAAATACTCAATAATGATATCAATACATTATTCAAAGGAATGTATATATTATTTTATTGTTAAAATTGATTGTGCTATTGCATTTACTTTTTATAAAGCTACTACCTTTTTAAATCTTAGTACATAGGGTTAAGTTATTTGTTTTCTATGTATTTCTTTTCTTTGAAATACTGAGAAGACATTATAACATTTATTTACAATTTCTTCAACACACAATCTTAAAAATATTTTCTAAACACTTTAAAACACTTGTGAAAATTATTTAATAATTTTTGTGAAGGTGATGAAAATTAATGACCCATTATATGTAAAAGATAGTGTTCCTATATATATTATCCTATAATAATTATAGAAACACACTAATAAAAAACTGGAAAATCATTGTATTAAGGATTAAATGTACTAATTCAATGTAATGCAAATGACTGAATTTATCAATGTTTATTCATCTTATGCCTAGAAATTTAATAAATACATGTCATAAAATTTTAAAGAATTCTTTTTAATTTTTCCACCTATATATTTCCATCTATATATTTTCAGCTTACCAATAATTGTAATTTTAATCTTTTTGCTGTCAGAGTTAATTTAATTTAGATTTACTTGAGAAATCTTAATGTTATTCTATTCTTAAAATATTTATTTCAGATTGAAACTTTAGAGAGTTATTAGACAATGGATAGTAGTCCAGGAAAGTTACCTTGTACTCCGCGGCGAGCACAGAAATGTCTCTTTGCACCGTTCAGTGATAAGTCTGCTAAAAAGAGCATTTCTAAAGATTCAGAGCACATCAGAGATGACAAGTTCTCGGAAGATGAATCAGATTTGGGACCCATGTCACCTTTGGCTCTCACTGATCGAAGTCCAAGTATCAGCGATCAGAGTTCCTCAGGCAGAGAATTTGTGTCTCCACTCGCGACACCTGAAAAGTCAATCATCTTCAATACGTCTCTGTCCTGGGATCGTTTAAGATTCAACATGGAGGAACGCATGTCACCCTTTAGATCACTCAAAAAGGTCACCAGAGAGGCTAGAAATTCACCAAGATGTAAAATGTTCTCTGCTAACCGTTTTCAGAGATCGTTGCCATCCAGTCCAAGAGAACTGATGGATCAGTTGACACCACAACGCTCAAAGACAAACATGGAACAGTTGAACGGAATAGTACCAGAGACACCCCAACGAAGCTTTGCAACAGAGATACAAAATCAAAGTATCACAGAAACACCTCGAAAAGGCAGAACTCCCGAGAGCAAGCAAACAACACCGTTGAGTTCTGTAAGCAAAACAGTTCCGTTGCCAAAGCTACACAGACGAAAGTCTTTCAGCACGATTGAAATGAGCATGGGTTTCTCGCCTGAACAAAAAGAGAACACATTAAAGAGGCGTGCGCGCGAGCAGTCGGGGGCGAAACCAACGAAACTATTTAAGGGAGACGACGACTTCGTGCCTAGAGCGAGAGCATCATTGTTTCAGGAGAGGAAACACGAATACAGTAGCCTAAAGGATTTCTCATTAAGTACGAAAACATTTTACAGTGGCAACGTGAAGTCCGAGCGGCCTTTCAGCAATTACAAGAGCAGCGACATTAAAAGGAGACGAAGTTTACCTTCACAAAACAGCAGTAGACGTTCATTGACAAAGAAGCGGAAATTTGGTAAGATAAACACTGGTGTGAGCCATGGGATCAAAAAGCCAAAGCCTAAGGTGAATACAGAGACATTGAAGAATGAGGGACAGCATATTGTGCAGAGTCTCACAGCTTCAAACAAGAGTCAATCTATGGAAGAAACTCAATCAATGGAGGTAAACATGATTGCGGAAAGGGCCCCGCCAATCGATGAGAGTAAGCGATTTTTTAAAACCAACAGGACGATCAGATCAAATCAGGCAGCTACGGTAACGATGAATGATAAGATTAAGTTGAAGGTCGCGGATGGTAAAATTGAATTGAAAGAGAATCAGAAACGCGTTTCATTCACGAATGCACATAAGCAAAAGCTGAAAACCGTGAACGTCTCTCTAGATGCCACCGATCTAACCGTTGACGAACCGGAAGTTGAAGCTACATTGCATCAAGAAAAAGTTAATGATCTCCTGAGAATTCTAGAGGATGACTGGGCGAACGATGAGTATGATACGATGACATCATTGACCCATATAGCGAACGCGTTTTCTCCATTACAATCGACGACGATGTTGTCGAAAGACACAATTATGTCTCCAGCTACCGAGCTTAGCAACATGACTTCGACGATGAACATTACAGACGCTGCTCCTTTGAATAACTTTGGAAATCTTTCACTTGAGAACGCTAATAATAGTCATAATAATAATAATAATAATAATGAAAAGGGAATCGAAAAAGAAATCGAAGAGGATTCCGAAAAAAGATATTTTCCATTATTTACCAAAGGATATTCTGTACCTGATAATATTTTTGAGTACGTTCGTGCGTTATAAATCTCGAGTTTTACATTTAAGATTTTGACTTGCACAAAATTATATCTTTTTGCTCTTCTATCATATTAATTTTATATATTATTCTGTTATCATATATTAATTTCTTAATATTTTAATCTCAATCATTTATATAATTTATATTTTTTTAGTACACGATTGTCTTTTTGAAAAAATATTTTAAGTTGTGCAAAAATAATTTCAAAAATTCTTTAAATCTGTTTTAACAAGATACATTTTAATTTTTGTTTTAGAGAGACAAGTAATGTCAAGACTACAAAAACAACAAAAAGAAATATGCAATGGCAGATATCCGCGAAAGGTGGTGGTGCAGAAGATCAGTATCAGCTAGATGCTGGTCAAAAACGTTTCGGCGCCACTCAGTGTCCAGAATGTAATGTTGTATACCAAGTGGGCGATGCTGAGGATGAAAACGCTCACTTGAATTATCACAATAGCGTACGAACTTTAAAATTCCATGTACGTTATATTTGTGCCTGTAAAGTGAATACTATATTTCACTATAGATACTATATTTAAATATTTTTGTTACATACATTTCAGGGTTGGAAGAACGAACGTGTTATATTGGAAGATCCTTTTACCTCCAGCAGAATAATCTTGATCGAGCCACATGACCCCAAGCAACATTGGAAGAAAGTGTTGGAAATTTTGATCGTTGTAGATAGAGATTTGGGACTGGCAGACATGAATATTTCGGATTATCAGAACAAAAATGCAAGTATATGCTATCTTATTCTCATTATTTTTACCGTACAAACATTTATGTTTTATAAAATTTTTCCACATTATTTTTCTGCATATCATCGAATTTAATATAGAAATAATTTGATAAAAATGCATTTTTTGCAGATTTTCTTGTATATACGCGAGAAAAACGTACTCGGAGTATTGGTAGCAGAACACATCAAAACGGCGTTTCGTATGATTCCTGAACTAATTGAACTTAATTGTTGCACCGCAGAGAGTACACCTACGAAATGTGGCATAAACGTCGTCTGGACTGCGATGAGTCATCGCAAACGGGGTATAGCCACTAAACTCGTCGATACTTTGAGGTAAATTGCATTAAGACATATATGTCGAAGACATACATACTTTCTTCGAAGAAGTCTTGTCTTGTTCAAAATATCTCTCGTTTATGTTTCAGAGCCAAATTCTTCTATGGTTACGTGATGTCGTTGGACGACATAGCATTCTCAATACCGACTCCGAGTGGTAAAATCTTCGCTGAGAAATACACGAGAACGAAAAACTTCAAAGTTTACAACTGAATCTACTTAAATTCTAACAAAGTTCGTTCTTTCTAAATGGTTGCGTCTTTTGTTAGCGAAATAGCTACTTAATACATTATACATCTTATTTTATCATATTTTATCTTGATAGTTATGTATTTTTGTGAAACCTTTACTTAGATGTTGATACGAATGAAACAGAGGTTTCTTGAATTTTATGAATCAATTTGAATGAACTTGTTTTTTTTTTTTATTTGAAGTTACTGTATTTTACTATAATTTCAAATCTAACGCAATACTTTTTTTTTATAATAAATTTGATATATCAGAAGATATAAAATTGATTGAATAATACATACATAGAATTATTTTTAGAAAAAGTTAAGTTACAGTAAAATTATTATGTTCTCATAACACATTTTTAATGATGCCATCTTTGATAAAATATATATTCTTGCTACTCATTTGTGTATTTTTTATGTAACATATGAATAATATATTTATTTGTGTTATATATCTAAAATAATCTGTGTGGATAAAAAATAAATATGAATTGACTAATTGTAAGTAAAAAAATATTTTCATTAACCTCGAATATCGTAAACATAAACAATCTTTTAAATAAATATAAAATATGGTATATAGAGAGAGAATTTATATGAGAAACAAAAGATATGCTAATTATTAGCACATTTAATAATAATATTCTGTAGTACAAAATTATATTTCGCAATAACTAAAAAAGTAAATTTAAATGTCGCTGATTTACAAGCATTTTTTAAGTATTAATATTTCAATAAAACATTTGAGTTATAATAAATCTTGATCATGTATAGTTAATTCAAAAAAAAATCAACAAAAAAATAAAGAAAAGGAATACTGTTTTGTTTTATGAAATTAATCTTTTCGAAATTGTATGAACTAAAAATAGTATCACAATGTGTATGTTAAATCTGTTACTGATTATACTAAACACAATGTAACCTAAGTCCTAGCATCATTAATTAATCATTTCACATCCTACGATAGCTGCGTCTACCTCTGTTGTTTCTTCCGTATGGATCTTCTTGTTCTTTTTTCTTTTTCCATGCATCATATCTTTCAGCCATTTTATATATTTCCTCAGGTACTTCCTGAAATAAAAAGTACAAATTAGTGGACTCTGCTACACAAAATTGGTAAGAATTAAAATATTTCTTGTATATCTATTAACCTGATTAGCCTCTTCAAGAATATCAATGAGTGCTTTAGCATGGTGCCAATCTTGTCTTGTCATAAAAGTGATACTTTCACCTGTTCGACCTGCGCGTCCAGTACGACCGACTCGGTGAACGTATTCCTCTATATCCCGTGGGAAGTCATAATTCAGTACATGTCTAAAATGAGGACAAAAATATATTAATGTCATATCTTGAATAATGTAATGTATTAGTATATAAACTTACGTAATATCAATATCGATTCCTCGACTAGCTACGTCGGTCGCGAGAAGGATCTGAACAGCTCCAGTCTTCAGATCTTCTAATGCTTGTTCTCTATCTGATTGATCTCTATCACCGTGAATACTCTGACAATCGATATTCGTTAAAGCCAGATCACTAGAGATATCGTCCACTTTTGATTTCTTACCGAAAAATACTATGACCTTATCTTGAGGACCCATTTCTAGGAAGAACTGATGCATCTACAATACATTAACGATAATAATGAACTAATAATAATGAATATCTTCAAAATAATTTGTAGCCAATTTTGTATAAACATATGTGACATCATTAACCATATCTATTTTCTCATCTTCATTCTCAGCCATGTAAATCCTCTGTGTTACAGAATGAACAGCTGTTAAGTCAAGTGATCCAACAAATACTTGAATCGGATTTTTCATGTATGACTGAGCTAAGCGTCTTACACCTTGGGGCCATGTAGCGCTGAAAAGGATAAGTATTAGATAATATTTATTAATTATAATATAATAATGATATGAATTTTTAGATGAACTATATATTTTTAATTATTCTAAAGAGAGGTAATACAAATCACTTATTTAAAGAAGTAATATATCTAATAAATTTTACAAATAGGAAAAAATAAAGAAAATATATATTCTAAAAGGATAACAACAAACAAGGATTATGATTAAGTTTTTTTCTTTTTTCCTTAAAGGAATCTCATTTTTAAAAGTAGTAAGTTTTTTAAAAATATGACTTATATACCTTGTCATAACAGTTTGTCTATTTGGTCGTACTCCTAGAAGAGTCTTACGAATTTGAGGTTCGAAACCCATATCCAACATACGATCTGCTTCATCAAGTATAAGATACGTCACAGCCGACACATCCAATACATTTGCTTGAACCAAATCATTTAATCTTCCGGGAGTTGCAATTACAATTTGCACACCTTTTGTCACAGTGTCTATTTGTGCTTTGCGATTTCCACCACCGTATACGCACACCCTTAAATAATTTACAATCAAAATATATTATGAAGTTAAAAGATATAAGTACATATTATTCGGAATAAACTTACGCTTTAATGCCATGGTAAGAGTATTTTCCTACTTCCTTTTCAATCTGCAATGCCAATTCTCTTGTTGGAGCCATAACAAGAACATTTGGCCCAGAACGTTCGTCACGTGGAGTTACTTGCCCATCGATATGAATCAAAGCAGGCAGTAAAAAGGCAAGAGTTTTTCCTGGAATAATTATCCTCTTACATACAAGCGCATATAATAAATCGCAAAAAAAAAACAATTGAGTCTAGGTTTCTCGAAATGTATATCTCTTCATAATATGCAAAACATATTTTTCTATTTCTTGTAAAGTATTATAAACCAAGTATTTTATTCTATATATATATATATATATACACAAATCAAATCAATTCATTCGAATATTTATATTGAAACAATTAATTGTTTTAATAAATATTCGAATGAATCGTATTGATTTTTAATTGTGGATGCACAATCTATACAATGTTTCAATATTTTTCAGAGATGTTACGAATTTGGGTGCTAATTGGGCGTTGAAGATGCTAAGCTTGGTCTTAATTACCAGATAGAGCTATTTTCAGCTCCTTATATATATATATATATATATATAAAATGCGAAAAATCGCGTATGTAAGTGCAGATAGAATTAAACCTGGATCTACAGATCGCAACTCAATCGCACCGAGCGGCAAACTACTCGATGTCTCGAACAATTCTAATTTAATTTAGCGAATTATTAGTGTTTTCAGATTGATTTGAAAGTCCGATTATCGGCAATCATATTTGCAAATACATGCGCAATCATATTTGAAATAAATTGATTTAATAAAGAATATATATATTATCGAAATATCTAATTTTGACCGTGATAGCGTTCTCTATTGTATTTGATGTATTCATATCCTGATCGTTTCTTAAATCTTAATAAAAATAATCAAACCTGTTCCAGTTTGCGCTATCCCAATGAGATCCTGACCACTTAGTAGAATAGGCCACGCCTGACATTGTATAGGACTTGGTTTTTCAAAATTTTGTTTTCGTATTTCTTTAAGAATATCTGGAAACGCCTGCAATATAAATGAAATAACATGTCAGTATTTGTGTTAAAACAATAAATAAATTTATAAATTCAAATTGCTTTATTACATGGAAAGCTTGTTCAAAAGTTTGCACAGGATTTGGTATTTTCACGTTTTCATCAGAACTTCCCGCGTTCTCAAAAACACGTCTAATTTCTATGTTATTATTAGTTTTCCTGAAATGTGTTATCACTGACTGTGGCATATTAGCAATGGCTGGATCTTCTTTGTAAAAATTTTTTATAATAGGAGGTAAAGCTGCCCATTTCTGCTTCTGACACTCCTCCTATAAAAACAATTGTTATGTATTCACTTATATTATAATTAATCTTTTATTGTTATGTGAAACATACATATTCTTCATTAGCTTTATTCCAATCAAAATTAGCCCAATCAATGTCTTCCTTTTCTTCAGGCTGAGATGTTTTTTGCACAGATTCATTTTCGTGTGTATTACTTCTTTCAGTTATACCCCTTTTAGTTCCACTCCTTTCAGTTCCACCCCTTTCAGTTAATAACTCCTCTATTAAACTCTTAGCTCGTTGTTGCGCATTATCTGTACCAGTTAGTGTCACAGCACTCTGTCCATTTTCATTATATTGTTTGTCGATCTATGTAAAGATAAAGAAAATCAGTTATATATATTAAATATAGGATTGAATATAATAGATTAAATTTTACAATGCATTTTATTACATTGTTTTAGATATTTTATTTACATTAATTCTAGCACCACTATCTTCTTGTAGAGCTTTAATTTTGCTGCCACCTCTCCCAATGAGTCTTCCAATGTTATTGCTATCAAT